TGATTTTTTTAAATTTCTCTGACATGACATGACATTCAAGATTTTTTCTTTAACCGCCGAGCTGTTGGTAAATCAGCAATTTCGTTGGTGCTGATCGACCCCGTTTACTCGTGTATTGTGAAATGTAAAGCAAGCGTTTACACGCTGAGCTACCACAGCTCTCCTGAGCTACGAGTCGTACTTGTCTTAAATAAATAAATACGTAATAAATTTCGTTTTATATAATGCTCTTTCATGATCATAAAAAATGCTATTTTCATATTGTAACACCGTGAAATCCCAGGGCGTTTCGTTTTCTGAACAAACTATGCATAAATTATTATTGAAATAGCTTCGTACCGTTTATTTCATTCCCAGAGATTTTATGATTTTTGTATCACCTTTTTTTGTTATAGATCAATGACACGGTCTTCGTTGTATTATACTTTTTTATTGTATGTTTAAAATTTTGGATTACATGTAACTTAAGTCTTACCCCAAAAACAAGTAAAGCAGGTTTTATTGTAGACATAATAATATCAAAGGGAATAATCATAATAATACGCGAATTTCTTTAAGTATTTTAATCACTACTTTATCAAACCATCACATTATGAGAAGGCAAAGTCTGCTGAGTATGTGTATATGTATTTGAATATCAATGGTAAATTTGATTCATTATACAAAACATCCATTTAGCAATGTAAATTTGTAGATATTAATTGCGTATTTTTGTTACTGTAAGTTTGTAAGAGAAGTCTACTTTAGTTATTAAACATGAATTTAAGATTTTCTACAATTAAAGTGTCAAAAATTAAAAAGTGTGCAATAACCCATGAATAAATAACTCTGCATAAATGTTAACTCTCCTGGGTCGCCCTCATATAATACCAGCGTTTTCGCAAAGAAGTTACGAATAGAAACTGTGAAATAACTTCTATTATAGAAATTACGTGTTTCTACTAGTTTACGCATGCATAGACGAATAAGTCGGCTGGAAGAACTATCAGTAGTGGATATAAAGGAATACTCAAAAGTGCATTGGTGGTATAAGAACGTGAAGTGGTTGCAAATGGCAACACAGGGAAGCACACCAGAAAATGAGCAGCAGCGTCTTCCTATTAAATCAAAATAAACTGTAGTTGCAAACCCACAGGCCAAGCGTGGCAACTATGGCAAAGATAAGATACTCAACAGTTTTTTTCCAACAGTTACAAATTATCCTCTATCAACATAAAATATATACGTGAGTAAAAACAGCTTAAGGAAGCTCATTAAGTTTTTTTATAGGATGGGATAACAAATGAGCACACAGTCCACCTGATGGTAAGTGGTTGCTGCGGCCCATAGACATCTATATCTATCCTCGATTACAAATCAAAATGTAGGTGCGTTGTCACCCGTGAGGAATAAGATGGAATGCCTCGTTTCCAGTAAAAAGGGTCTCCGGTTCTCTACACTCACCATACGAAACATAGCGGCATTGAGCTACTATTTTATGCTGGTATTCTGTGAGAGAGTGGTCTTTCCCCGGTCGAGCCGACCCATTCGTGCTACAACTATACTACTAATATAACTGCAGCATGGCTCTACCATGTATAAAAAGTCCACCTATTCTTATCTTATAAATGGTTATTTAATTTATCATATCATATCAAAGGCATAGAATAGGCATAGGAAATATTTTTGCTCAACTCTATAAAACTAATACATTATGTCATAAGTCTTAAGGCACAATATATTCATATTATATCTTAAGACTTATGACATAAAAAAATATATGAAGAAGCGATCGAGCACAACCAGGGCTCCAAAGTCTTTACCAGAGATTTGTCTGCTAGAAAGAGCCAGGCTTATGGAGAAGGCTATGCTCGGGGTTTTTCTGCGTGACAAACTTAGAAATGAGGATATCCGCAGTAGAACCAGAGTGACCGACATAGCCCAACGGATTAGTATGTTGAAGGGCCGGCCATATAGCTCGAAGAACCGACAACCGACAGGAAGTCAATGGATGCAGGTGGCTCACGACCGTGCTTTGTGGCATTACCTGAGGGAGGCTATGTTCAGCAGTGGACTTGTGAAGGGCTGTAATGATGATGATGATATGTTCATATCATATCTCTAAAAGACACTTAAAAATAATAAAACAGTTAAAAGACTTATGTTCGTATTCATATAAATGGTTTATAAAACATTCATCTAAAGCGTTATTTATTGTATGTACTTTGTTTCGCGCATAATTTAAATATGAATAAATCTAAGCTCCATTGGGTAATAAAAGTGCGAATAAAGAATTAAGCATACTGCGAACAAAAATAATTTAAATATAAGAATGACTTATGTTTTCAATGCGTTCATAGATATGCACGTACCTTATTTATCAACAATCGTAATAGTATATTGCTAATTATGGGTTTCCCATTGTTGGAAGGATTCACTGTAATCACGACGTTTGCCAAAGGGATTTTTGATTACGTACCAAATATTTCGCATTTTGGCGATATCCCCGGTCGCCAGTCTGGATATTTTGCATCTGACATATGAGATAGTTATACCACCAGCGTTTTGAGTGCACGATCTCGTGCATACGTGCATTGGAGTTTTGCAAAAGCACCACGTATTAGGTATACTACCGAAAAGGAAGAAATGGGGATGGATATTATTCACCATTCAGTGAATGGCTCATGTAATATATTTTATGATCAGCTTATTTTGAATTATAATATTATAAATTACTTTTTGTTGTCACCAATAAATGAGTCACCGTGCCTACGAGAGGCGAACAAACATATTCGCAAAAATGAGGGACGAGATGCGAGTAATATATGATATTATATACTGTACAACTGCTAACAAGGCAGACTTGTGCCATTTAAAACTCCTGAGGCAACAACGTGATTACGAATATATTATTATGATGAGCTCTTTAATTTGAATCTGCTATATTTTTCATTGAAGATAATTAAATGCTCCATCATTGTCATCGTTTATTACAATCCATCATAATTCCACTGCTGAACATGGGCCTCCCTGAAGGAATGCCACGAAGCACTATCTTGAGCCGTCTCTCATCGATCGTGTCGTGATCGATCGTATCGACCTTACTAGGTCTACCAAGGTACGACTATTGGAGGATTTTCCTACACTTCGCTTATTCGCACTTGAAGTTATCTGCTTCGAACTAAATGACCGGTTTATCCTTATTAATCTCTAACCACAAACACTGTCCAAATCGGATGGATCCGTCAATTTATCTTCGAAGTCAGACATTTGTCTGATTTGCGTAAAAACACAAATTACAAAAAATATTTTACGTGAATAATAACTACTTGAAATCATGAGCTTTGATCTCGATTTACACTTTTATAAAAAAATAAAGTTATACGATATAAAAGGATGAAAATCCGAATCCAGCTTCAAAGAGATTTTCATACACGTCCATCTACATGTGGTTTCTTACATTCTCTTCTTCGCTTGCCTGTAAAATATTGGCAATATACTGGGTAGTGTTTAGCAGAAACCTAAAACAAAAAAAGATTTATGATTTAGATATTTTGCCCGAAACTGTTTCATTTCTTGTTTTCATCATATTACTCAAAGAATTTTACATAGAAAAGATACGAATAATTTTACGGCTCATAGCGTTTTATCGATAAACATCTTGGGGATATTAACATCTACTATTTGACCTTAAATAACTCGGTTTCTGACGTGAAGATTTGATGCTCCCTTTAATATTAATATTGTTACTTTAGTGAACTTTTGATGCTATATAAATGTTTACCAATAAGCCAAGATATGTTTTTATACATTGTTATAGTTTTTAAAAAGTTGTGAGGCAGCACCACGTTTTTACAATAGCTTTCTTGCCCATTGAATCTAAGTAAAAGTAGAGTAAATATTATACTGCTGAAAGCTGCAGTGCAGTCACACCCATGTAGGTTTCGCCGGCTACAACTAATTGCAGCCGAATACGGTCGGCAACTTGGTTTATATAAACCCCTGGTAACGAGTTTGTCGCTTTGTAGCTGTTTCTTAAATAGGTTTCATAAGTAGTTTGTGCAACCTGTGTTTCTATTATTTAATAAATCTTGAAAAAAGTTAGGCTGGGTTTTTTGCTGGTTCTTCCCAGGATAGAGGTTTTCCGAACCCATGGTAATAGCAAAAATGGACATTTCATAAGAATTACTTCTAATCTACAGGGTTACTGGTAACTCGACGTATTCCCGCCAAGGCGTGATAGTTGGGGTCATAACCTATCAAATAAACCATAAAATGCATTATGCAAATGTGGACCAATTTCGAGATATTTAGGTTTAATTATTTTTTTTCAAAAATCCCAAAAGTCTGGTGTCAAAAATGTCTAAAAAAAAACTTACAGCTGTATTATTTTCATTTTATTATTTTTACATAATGAAAACCTGGATACTTATTTATCAATACTACAATGTGCAAAAAGTCTCATCATTTTCGAAGTAACGCTACTAAAAGTACTACTTTTTCCAAACAGAAGATAAGTAATTAAAAATAAAAATGATTTTGTGAAAAATAATTGTATGTGACCAATTGTGCAAATCATGTTAAAAACATCCCTACTTATCTAGCTACTCAACGAAGTATCAATTTAGCTTGTAACTTAAATATTACAGAAAAAACTTGAAAAAACACAAGTCGTCACAAGTGCGAGTGGTGATTATATGAAACAGACGTGTATTTTGTTGTCCTTAAAATACAATTACAGTTTTCCGCTAAATAAGCATTAAACAGTAGTAAATAAGTTCTAAATTTTTGCAAAGGTTAATGCATACATTAATTCAATAGTGACGACAATGTTGTGTGGTATAAGTCATGAACTTAATGCGCTCACCACCCCGACTAAGTGGATCATTAACAGATTTAGGAACATCAACAAGTTTAGTACGGAGCACCAAAATACCTAGAGAAAACGTAAGCAACCAGAGCATAGTTGCAACTGCAACTGTGCACAAGAACTTCAAGATTTCCGCAAAGATGTTACGTCAATGTTACAAAAATTCACAAACACCCAGGAAGCTACAATGAACTTCATTCGTGACAATATTACAGAAATGAAAACACAGGTTAACAACATTAAAGTGGCTACCGACACTCTGAATAAAGACCAGATATCAATGAAGGTCCAAATATCAGACATAACTACAAAGGCAACAGCGGCGGATAATAAAATTCAATCTCTTGAGGCAGAAATCGTTACTTTAAAAAATAATATGGCATTCAGTACGACGATGTCAACTTCTGATGAAAATGTTATCCAAGAATTACAAGAAAGGTTTGCTAGGGAAAAAAATATAATAGTGGTAGGCATACGTGAATGCAAAACAACAAAAATTGATGAAGGCCGCGCCTATGACTTTAGTGAAGTCTCGAAAACTATAAACAGCTTGATACAAGAGTGCCCGAAACCTTCTCGAGTATTTCGTCTTGGTAAATATCAACCTACAAAGGATCGCAGCATTAAAGTATTGTTACGAGCTTAGGGTTCGTGACAATAATAACTACCGATTGAATTACCAAAATTAACACTTTAATTCACTTTACACTAATTAAAACTTAAAAGGCACTAATAATCAATCACATCGATTCACTTTATTTCGCTCCGAAGCTTCGCTTGTCTTGCCAAATTCGATACTTCCCCGATCGCGTATTGCAGCGCCTATAAATACACATTAGTACCGAATCATCCAGAACATTCAAGTAAATACGCGCACCAATCGACAAAGCGCCGAAAGTTCGGGAGTCAGCTTCCAGAAGCTTAGTTCTTCGTTTCGACAACAGATAAGGCTGTCGGTTGAAAGATTAGTGATGTCATTTTCTGGAAAGCTCTCCCCTCGCTCCGTTACCCGACACTAGATGGCGCTAGTGCCAGATGTCAACTTAGCCGCGTAACACTGCCCCTTCCTAAGACATGCTCGTCCCGAGCATTATCGGCACCATAATAACGCGCCAGGCGATCCACATGGACGATCTTAGGAGTCCCTCTTGCGCCTTTCTGTAACGGCTCCGCAATGTCAAGGGCTGTCCTATCCCATGGTGCACCAACATTGTACAATTTCGGTGCTCCCAGATGGACTCTTGAACGACCATTATGGTACAGCTGTAGAACATTCGGCACTTTGGCTATAGGGACAACCATTTGCAAACGACAGCTGTCTCCTCGACAATTGTCCCATTCACGGCACAGGACTCCATCCTGAATCAGCAAGCTGTCCCATTGGGCCCAATAGCTTTTCGTGGTTGAACTCATCGCTGAGACGTCGCTCCACTTAGGCTTGGTAGCACGGGCCTTCATCCATTCCAGAATCGGCTTGATGTCCGGATCTTCCTGCTGTGCATGTCCTTCCACTCGTTGCTGAGGTGGTCTGTCCTGAGCATCCTCACGGATACCACTTCTTACTTACTCTCTTGCCTAGTACAATGTTTCCGATCTTCAGGACAAGGTCTTCTTGACAATGCATCTGCGTTGCCATGAGATTTCCCGCTGCGATGTCTGATAGTAAAGTCGTATCCCGGCTGTTGCTGGGCGGTGATGTTAGCCGCACTTCCCTTCTGAGATCGTTCACCTTCCCTTTCTAGGGTTCGCTTAGGGCAGCTGGATCGAAGATGGCCCCTTTCCCCACAGCCATAGCACCTAGGGCTGTATCCTTTATTGTGGTCACGAACCGTAACTGCTGCAACCTCCCTAGCGCGAGGGGAACGACGATCCTGCCACCGCCAGGCGGTGCCGTTAGCTGCACTACCCTCTCGAGATCGATCAACTCTCTTTTCTACAGTTCGCTTAGGGCAGCTGGAGCGAAGATGACCCTTTTCCCCACAGCCATAGCACCTAGGGCTGAATCCTTTGTTGCCGTCGCGAACTGTAACTGCTGCAACCTCCCTAGCGCGATGGGAACGATGATCCTGCCGCACGGCTTCCACCTCCAGTGCATGAGCCAAGGCGTCCTTAAGCGTCTCGTGGTGCCCGAGCCTCACAGCAGCTCTGACTTCCAGGTCGCGGATGCCGTCGATGAATGTCTGCTCCAGGTTTCCTTCAATGAGCGCAGGTACAGACCGGTATTCTTTCCGCACCAGCTTCTCCACCTCTAGAGCCCACTGCTGCAGGTTTTCGTTGATGCGCTGCACGCGATCTTTAAGCTGCGCACGAAAGACGTGTTCCAGGTGAGCGTCGCCATATCTCGCCTCCAATGCCTCAAGGAGTTGCTCATAAGTCACTTCCTCCCCGAGAGCTTCCAGAACTGTTAAGGCCTGGTCGCGCAGGCCTAGTGTGAGAGCAGTCATGGCCTGACTTTTATTCCAGCCGTTCGCCTTCATAACAGCCTCGAACTGGATTTTGTAGGCTGACCAGGAAGAAGTCCCGTCGAACGGTGGCACTTTGAACCCACGTAGCGAAGGTGTAGTAGCTACTATGGGAGCTGTAGTTCCATCACCCAGTTTGAGGTCGTCCAGCGTTTTCTTCACGTCAGCCACCACGTAATCAACCCGATTGTTCACTTGGTCGATTTGCGTTTTAGCTTCCTTGATTTGGGTTTCAGCTTCCAACAGGCGGTAGTCATGTTGAGCAACCCTATCCTTCACCTCCCTTATCTCTTTCCCAAAGGTAGCATGAAGGTCCTTCATGAGGAGCATCTGCTCTTCCGACGAGCCTGTTCCGACTGCTGATCTTCCAACCGACGGGCCTGTTCCTCCTGTCGGCGGGCCTGTTCCTCTTGCCGGTGGGCCTGTTCATCCTGTCCACCCCGCAGCTGCTCTTCCAACCGACAGACCTGTTCCTCCTGTTGGCGGGCCTGTTCCTCCTGCCGGCGAGCCTGTTCATCCTGTCGGCGAGCCTGCTCCTGCAGCATCACCATCAGAGCACCTAAGTCAGATGCTGCAGATGTAGGAGCTACTGACGGGCCTGCAGCCGGCGGCTGGCCCTCCGACGTCTGCGGCGTTGCACCACCAAATCTTCTTTCGTCCGTCTCCTGCTGGCGTTGACTTCGGGTACGGACACCCTCCGTTTCTTCCTTAGGTAAAATCGGCGTGATTTAATCCCACTTCTGACACCAATTGTTACGAGTTTGAGGTTCGTAACAATAAAAATTGCCGATAGAATTACCTAAATTAACACTTTAATTTTATTTACACCAATTTAAGTTTTATTAAAACACTAACAATTAATCACACTGATTCACTTTATTCCACTCCGAAGCTTCGCTTGTCTCGCCAAATTCAATACTTCCCCGATCGCGTATTGCAGCGCCTATAAATACACATTAGTACCGAATCATCCAGAACATTCAAGTAAATACACGCACCAATCGACAAAGCGCCGAAATAATACTAATTTTTACGGAATTTATCGCGTATATTTAACTTTTTTTACCCGACGTTTCGAGAGCTTTACAGCACCCATGGTCACGGGAAGGACTGAGATGTTCAACGTCCAGCTGTCATAGTTAACCGCGGTTACCATAGATTAAAATTTAACTTTTGTTAATCTATGGTAACCGCGGTTAACTATGACAGCTGGACGTTGAACATCTCAGTCCTTCCCGTGACATGGGTGCTGTAAAGCTCTCGAACGTCGGGTAAAAGTTAAATATACGCGATAAATTCCGTAAAAATTAGTATTATTTCAATGTGTAGTGTTCGCGTAAATATAAGAAATCATTATAAAGCGCCGAAAGTTCGAGAGTCAGCTTCCAGAAGCTTAGTTCTTCGTTTCGACAACAGATGGCGCTGTTGGTTGAAAGATTAGTGATGTCATTTTCTGGAAAGCTCTCCCCTCGCTCCGTTACCCGACACTAGATGGCGCTAGTGCCAGATGTCAACTTAGCCGCGTAACAGTATGCTTTGAATCTGCACAAACTGCAAAAATGCTGCTTCGTAATGGAGATAAACTTCAAGGTGGCATTATGATCTATTCAGATCAAACACCGGCCCAACAACATGAAAAATCTTAAAAAAAGAGTTAGCACAGAGAAAAGCAAATGGAGAAAAAGACATTACAATAAAATATATAAAAGGATTGCCAAAAATAGTTTTAAACAAAGACCCAAAAAACTAAATTTTCAATCGCTTCTTAACACCAAACGTCCTTTCATAGATGATCAAGAGAATATAACTTACCGAGTACTTAATAATTATCAGAATATTTCTTCAAATAAATCTAGTCTTAATTTTTTCTATGCTAACATCAGAAGCATCTGCAGATCAGGTAAATTTGACGAACTTAAGTGTGTCCTGCACTCCATCAAAAAATGTATACACGTTGTACTACTGACTGAAATGTGGATAAAATCTGAAGAACAAGCTCAACAATTTCGCCTACAAAATTATTCACACTACTATAACATCAGGCCTGGTAAAATCGGTGGGGGTGTATCGATATATGTCCATGACGATTTGAAACATAAGCTGTCAACAGCATCCTATACTGGAGGTAACAACTATCTGAGTATATAGATTTATAAGTATGCACTTAATGTTGGGGTTGTGTACAAGCCTGGACATTCAAACTTTAATGATTTTTTATGTAACTTAGAAAAACGGCTTCTGCTAAAAAAGAGGACTTTAATCTTTGGAGACACGAATATAGATCTATTATGTACTGACAGTATGACAAAACGTTATAAAACTATGCTTACGGAATCTGGATACAAAATTATAAATAAAATAGACCCTGAGGACTGTACTCGGGAAACAACAATTACAAAAACAATTATTGATCATGTTTCTACTAACTTGAAATGTAACAATTTTCATTTGGCTATTATTGATTCAGCCCTATAGGATCATAAAAACATGTACTTAGAAATAAAAGAGTAATGCCTCCACCAAAACAAAAAATACTGTATGAAGCGACTGATTATAGTAAATTGAATAAAATTATAGAATTATCAAAATTTCAAAATATTTCCTGTAATTTTAATATTCTAGAAGAATATATTATAAAAATAACTGCCGAAAATAAAACAACAGAATATAAAATATTGAACCAACCTCAAAAAGAATGGATTAATAGCACCATAATAGCTCAGATTAATGAAAGGAATATATTATGGAATAAATTTAAACAAAATCCTAAAAATAATAACTTCGAGCTAGATTTTAAATTTAAGAGAGACACGCTGGTACAAACGATTAAGAATACAAAACAGAAGTATTTCTACGGAGAATTCATGAAATGAACAAAAAACCCAAAGAAAATGTGGAAATTAATTAATAATCTAGCAAATAACAAAATTTTAAGTAATTGTGTTCCCGCAAACCTTACAGATGAAAACGGAATAGTGACCACGGACCCCATAGAGGTATGTGAAACCTTTAATCGTTTCTTCGCTAACATAGGTATACAACTAGCAAATGAAATACCAGACAAGTTTCATAACAATGATACATACACGTTATCTAATCTACACCAAACAACTGGTCATCATGAGCTATCCCTATTTTCCCCATGCACAGCTAATGAAGTATCTAAAATCATAGATGACTTGGA